CCCCCCCCCCCCCCCCCAAAAGCCTTCTAAAAGTATAAAGTATATATGAGAAAGTTGAGAGCCCCAAGATCGAAGTACACCATGCCATCATGTGGTTCTTTGGATTCTCCACCAACACTCCAAGAAACTATTGGATCATTGGTGCAATAATATTGGTTATCATATTCACAATCATCCTAAGGAAGGTGGCTGAGTCTCGAGAAGACGATAATAAGTCTTCAAATAAAACAGCTCAAATCGAATCTGATCAGAAGTCGTCCAAGGAAGTGACAAAGTCTACTTGTAATCACTGCTATTCTGGTGTCATAAGGACCTATGCACTCGAAGAGTTGAAGATGGCGACGGGGGATTTTAGAATTACAATAGGTGTTGGAGCCACCTCGTATGTGTATCTGGCTGAGCTCGGTGACGGAAGGTTCGGCGCCGTGAAGCGGGTCATGGAGGAGAGAGGTGGCAGCAAGAAGATTTTTCTGGATGAAGTTTCTGTTTTGCTCAGGATCTCACACCCAAATTTGGTAGGGTTGATGGGTTTCTGCTTAGACAAAGGTGAGTCAACAACTATGTTCTTCCTAAACATACATCCCATGAACATACACCAACATGAATGTTTGTGTCTAACAATTCTAGCTAAGAACTATAAACTCTAAAATCTATACAGAATTAGTGAATTTGAATTTGATCTCAATTTTTAAACCCATCAAATAAATTGTTTGACAAAAACTCAATAAAAACCGACACAAACTTGGACTTATAGCACTCGTACATGGCAAGAATCTGACTATACACAATTATAAATGGATCGATTATAAGTCTTTAGTCTTAGTGCCAACCATTTGTGAATGATGAGAGCTTCTTTTGTGAGCAATTGGTTTTGGGTGTCCTGCTCAAACATGACGTGGACCTTGAAGTCCCATTCATAATGAATAGGTCTTCAAGCTTGCATAGACCTTCCCGCCCTTGAAAATGTCCAAATTTATGCCTTGTTACCTACATATAGATCAAGTTAGGTTTGAACTTTCTTACATAATTGGACATCAAGCTCAAGCTAAGTGTCAACAAGTGGCTCAAGGCACACGCTCTGGCCCACGGCCCGCCATCTCGGCCCGTCATGACTTCTAGTGATAGCTCAACAAAGAGGGTTATAGGCAATTTTTTTTTTTATAATTTAGGGTTGATGAGTTGGCCCGGTTAAGACAAAGGAGGCCACCCATCAGGAAAGCCCATGGACTAACCATTGACTCGATAATATTCAAAAATAAAAAATAATGCTCTAAATTGGAAAACAAAATATAAGAAGACCCATTAAACTTGGTTTAATACACAAGCCCTGTGTCATTATTTTAGGGCGGGCTAGCCCATCCATAACCCCTATGGGCCTTTTATTGCAGACTGAATACCTGGCCCGGCCTCTTTTGGACCGCCAGCTCAAGCTCTAGAGGGCTTAGAAGTTTTAACAGAAGCCTTCATCACTCAAATGGTTATTAAATGTAACTCATGGAATTCTTCTTATGTTTTTTCAGGAGAACAACTTTTACTACTAGAATACGTGCCAAACAAGAGCCTCTTCGATCGGATGCACACACACTATGGCCAATCATCTGGCATACTTTCATGGTCAAGCCGCCTGAGCATCGCCCTCGACATTGCCCATGCTCTCGACTACCTCCATGCCGTGGCTGACCCTCCGGTCATTCACAGAGACATCAAATCATCCAACATCCTGCTAATCAACAATAATCACGCCAAGCTTGCAGACTTTGGGCTCTGCAAGTTGGGCCACGACACCCAAACAGCCCAAACACCAACCACTGTAAAAGGCTCACTGGGCTATATTGACACCAATTACCTTAACACGGGGCTTGTGTCACCTAAAAGCGATGTTTACAGCTTTGGAGTGTTATTACTTGAGCTCATCACTGGGATGAAATCTGTGCAAGGCTCCACGACGCTAGCAGAATGGACTGAGGACTGCCGGAAAAATGAGAATGTGGAGGTTCTACTGGGATTATTGGATCCAAAACTCGATGGGGATGTGAATGTTGAGCAGTTACGGATGTTGATTCATGTCGCCAACTGGGCATTGATTGAAAACTCTGAAGCAAGACCGGAGATGAGCCAGATTGCGTGTAGGATTACAAAATGTATTGAAGAACCTCAACTTCAACCGGAATTACCTGTATAAAGTTGTTGATTAATATCACTTGTGAATAAATACTTGTTTAATTGTTCATATCCCACATGAAGAGCTGTACAGTAATTCTTTAGACATAATACAGTGTATGTCTCTGAGTGTTTTTACTCATTTTTGTTTTCTTAGAATATCTCTTTTGTGTTCTTTCTTGAATCCAAGATGATAAATCTCTCTTCCTTTTCAGTCTTTTTGATCATGGATCCGGAATTCCTTAGTTCTTCGCAAAGTAGAGAAGAAAATCATAACCTAATTCATAGGTATGAGATCTTCATCTATGAATTAAAATTTGCGAATAATTAATTAACTATGCGAACGAGTTATCCAAAACTGTTTCACTCTTACTATAAGTAAAACTGTTTTACTTGGATTCCCATCGACTAACTAGATCGATGAAATTTGATCCTAGATTGTCTTTGGAATGACTTTTTAACTATTAAAGCAAACCCATATTGCTTGTTCCAGCAATTTTATGCAGCAGGACACGATCCTAATTGCACATTTAAAAACTTTGAAGTTTAAAGATACATAATGTTTCTTCCACGAAGCAGTACCTGGGCTAGCTACTAGCCGACATAAATGTAATTCAAAAACCTTAAGTATGTCAGAAAAGTTCAACAAATTACAAGGTCTTAGAGACAATACCCTTGTTATATTATTGCAATTTGTTTGACTCTTAACTCTACCATATTCAAATAACTCTCTAACGGACTTACTTAAAGAGTGAATGAGAGCTTACCATCGGATCAAGAGCCCCTCGAATAAGGGGTACACAAAAAACCTTACGACTTAGTTTAAATAAATAAATATAAAAGAATGGTACAAGTAAGCATGAATAATTATGACTAAGTTTAAGTATTGTTTGTCAATGCACAAAACAGCTGGCTTTAATTTCTTAGTTTTGACCCATCTCTCACCTATTTAATTAATGCTATTAATCAGACATATGGGTGCTTCCTCGAATGCTCCTGTCTCTCCCTCCCTTTGACTAAATATATGACAATCCATACACACACAAATATAGGAGAACTCAACGGTAGTGAAAAAAATGGTATCATACCACCATTAAAAATTTTATGGGTTTTTTTTTTAATAATTTTTTAGGATTATTTTATAACTTTTGTGATAACTTTCAATCGATCCTAAAAATGTAGGATCGATGACAACATTTTTAGGATCAATCACAAGTTAACACAACAATTTTAAATCATAAAAAATGTAACTTAACCTAAAAAATAGTAATTTTTTTATTATAAATAAACCGCAAAACTCGTATCAAAGCCCACAAAAGTTGTAAAATTTGGAGGTCGGGACCATAGCTTTGTCCGTATACATACATATATATATGGAAAATACTATTTGGACCTAATTTAGGGGCCCAATTTAATACAACCATTGGATTGATTGTGAGATTCATCTAATATTGGAACTTACAACTAATCTAATAGTTGCGTTAGAACCACATCATTAACTCCCCAAATAAGGTCCCTATAACATTACTCTCTCTCTCTCTCTATATATATATAAATTCCTATAGCATTAAATCTCTAAACCACATCATTAGATCCCCAAATAAAGTCCCTATAACATTCCTCTCTCTCTNAACTAATCTAATAGTTGCGTTAGAACCACATCATTAACTCCCCAAATAAGGTCCCTGTAACATTACTCTCTCTCTCTATATATATATATAAATTCCTATAGCATTAAATCCCTAAACCACATCATTAGATCCCCAAATAAAGTCCCTATAACATTCCCCTCTCTATATATATATTATGTAGTTGTTACTATCTTAAGTTTTTTCTATATATGTCGGTACGCAGGACGTACATGCATGGGAACTTCTGATGAAACCAAACCACGTGTCTGTAGTTGCATGGATTCGAATATTTACTCATGTGCATAAACACCTTTTTGCATAATAATAAATATTGATCCGACATAGCAACTGAGGAAGGACTCATTTTGGATCATATTAAAACATAGTTTTTTTGGTTAGACTTTTATGCTAATGGACTCGTGACTTGAATAAACTATAGGAATTAGTGAAGTGAGAGTGAAATGAAATGCAGCAAATACAGCCACGCCTTATCTGTAAAGTAAGAGAATGACTTGTAAAGAAAGTGACCAAATTAAGAATAATTAATTATTTGTTAGAGCATATTCGGGGTTGACAATTATTAATAGCTCACATGAAATTATGGTATAGATTTTGTCTTAACGTATTGAATTATAATAAGATTCATCTGCCATACCCGCATAAGAAATCAATCAACATGAACTCACCTATATATATGATACGAATCCGATACGACATGAAAGGGACAATATAAACACCATAACTGTGTTACGTTGAGCATAGATTAAATAAATTTAGCACGATACGATTTATAGACATTCACTACAAAAAAAAATAACTTTTAGCCGCTAAATTTAGATTGTAGCTACAAATATTGTCACTGAATGAATATGTTTGGTGACAAAAAATTATTATTGTCATTGAAAGTATGATGTTAAAATTATTTAATTGCCATAATTATTTGTCACTACTACATATATATAATTAGTGGTGAAAAAATATTGTTGTCACTGAAGATATGATAATGAATCTAATTAGTGATAATTTAAATGTTGCAACAAAAATACATTATTAATTCATTACTAATTCCAAATATTTAGTGACAATAATTTAAATTTAGTCACTAATAATATAAAATTTTAGTGATAACATTTTCAGTTGCAGCAACTATGCCTTATTTTTAGCGGCCATTTATTTTTTTTGCCACTGAATGTCAATTTTAGTACACTATACAAAATTTGGGTGTTTAATAATACATTCACCTTCACCACATTGTCGATCTCTCTCAATCGTCGATCTCTCAATTCCTTCTCCGTCACGATTCCAACTGGTTTGAAGACTCCCTCAAAGACACCTCCATCGCCACCACCACACTGTTAATCTCCTTATTCAAAACCCTCAATTTCATCTAATTACAGAAATACTTCCAGATCTCATCAACCTCTAACGATGTCGATCTGATCTCCGATCTCAGAATCTGAAACCCTAAGCTCGATGGCTGGGGCTACGTGTGCACTTTTTCTTCTAGACATCAAGGGCCGCATNCCAAAATTCAGAATTCTAGCCTTATTTCTTCAAGGGGGTTTGGGATTAGTACCCAATGTGGGGAGTGAGTTTTTTCCTTCATCATGTCCTATTATTTAGAATGGTGTTTCCATAATAGTTTTAGGAGATTATGGTGGGGTTCTTCGTCTTTACCTATCAATTGTGTCTCTATGGGTAGTGGTAATTTTGCTATTTAACGTTTGTTAGACAAATAGAAAGAAAGTTTCTGTTATGCATTGATGTGTATTGAGAGTGAAGATGCCATAGAAAATTATGTTTTACGGATCCTTAAGTTCAACCTTTTGAAGCTTATGATTCTTGTCTCTGGGAAAGATTTTGGCCTTGTTACAAATGAGTTGAGAGAGTGAAACAAAAATAGGAACAGTGAGGAAAGGTTTAGTTTATCTGATGATGAAAAGTGGGCTGTTTTGAAAAAATTTCTAAAAGAAATTGATTTGTCTTTAGTCCACAATAAATAGAAAGGTAGAAGAAAGGGTGAAGGTAAATTTGTGAGAAAGAATAAGGAGATGAGAGAGCTTAGAAATTTNGTAGAAGAAAGGGTGAAGGTAAATTTGTGAGAAAGAATAAGGAGATGAGAGAGCTTAGAAATTTACAGTCAGGGATAAATTATGATAGGATAATGTATAGGAGCAATGGGGAGGGTGATGTGACTTTATCATGAATATTATTATTTAGAACATGAGGGGTTTGTGATCAAAAAATAAGCCTAGTTCAATTAGGGATGTGCTTATTGGAGAGTGTCTTGATATGATTATTTTGTAGAAATTGAAAAAGGAGAAGTTTGATAAGAAATTGATAAAAAGTGTGTGGGATTCTAGGTTTAGGAACTACTTTTATTTGCCGTCCGTTGGGAATCAGGGGGTATAATTATTATGTAGGATGAAAGGACCATTATTATGAAGGAATCGGTATAGGGGAAATATTCACTTTTGGTTAGGATTAAGTCTAGTGATGGTTGTGACCGGTAGTTAACTAGGTTGTGTGGTCCAAATTATCCTAGGGAGAGAGGTTGACAATGTTACCTGGATCGTGGGTCACTTTGGTACGAGTACGGGTACATGGTAAGACACTTTTTTAGGTACGCGATACGATGGGAGTAAGTTTAGTTGATACGATATTTTGGGTCGTAATTCATTTTGAAATTTTTATATAGATCATTTTCACTGATATACAACAATTATATATTACAGAACATTCATAAATATTAAGTTAGTTATCGTTTATCTTATAGTTGTGCTTGATTTTCTATTATTTAAAATAATATATAATTATAAATCTATGTACATGTAGTCAATTAATAAGTATTTTATATTTGTATTATATGTTCTAAAGTGAATTGATTTAGGGTTAGTATTATAATTTGAGGTCGTTCATTTTGGTAATCTAGATCGCGAACCCACCTCGTTTGGGATTGATGTACACAAATCGTGGGTTGTTGAGGATTTAGTAAATTTTGGTAACCATAGAGGTAGACTGTGAGAGGAATTGGCAGGTTTGTTTGGGTTATGTAGTTCGCGTTGCTGTGTGGGTGGAGATTTTAATGTCATTAGATATCTATTTGAAAAGTTAAATGGAAGACGAAGGACTAGGAGTATGAGGGATTTTGATGCTTGTATCGGTGAAACAAGGTTAAAGGATCCTTATTTGGGTAATTGTACTTTCACTTGGTCAATTTTTAGAGATAATCCAGTTTAGTCAAATTTTAGAGATAATTCAGTTTGTAATAGGTTGGATAAGTTTTTTTTCTCGCCTAGGTGGTGGAAGGACTGTTATCTGGGAATGCTTCAAGAGAGATTGACAAGGGTAGCATCGAATTATTGTCCTATAGTTCTTAATTCTTCTTTGA